GCAGAGACAAAGGCAGAGAAATGGAGAGAAAAGGGAGCAATAGATACCTAAATTCAACTTCCGTCTGCATGCAAATGCCAGCTACATACTGAAGGCCATCCCCTCCTCCTGTGCTGCTGCTCTAGAGACGGATGCCCCTGGTTCCCTTGTCCCAACCTCCTGTGAGGTCCCCTTGAGCCAGATTCACCTGCTGGGAGCGCAGTGTGATTAGTCCTGGAGAGCAGGGCGGGTCTAACACCTAGTAGCAATGCCGAAGTGTACAAGAAATGACTAGGTCAGAAGGCGCCAGAAGACGAGATCAGCTGCTAACAGCCTGTGGCTAAAGTTATTGTGTTGAGTCTCGCCTGCTCAGCAGGTGAACATGGAGATGAAAGTACCGCTTGGGGTTTTGCTGAAAACCAAAAGAAGACTCTAATCACAATGTCAAGCTTATAGTGGGAGCTCAAATCAATAGTTTTTTGTCTGTTTGTTTTTGTCTTTTACTACCAATAGGTATGGTTGTCCCTAGACCCTATATATACTGCTGTTCCCAGTTTGGGCACTGCTGGCACTGCCTGGGAATTCTGAGAAAAGTCTGTCAGCTGCTTTCCCGGCTGAAGACACACAAATGACTCCTAGAACCCTCTTACCTGTAACAAGCCAAGATGTGAAACAGGTAGCTCACACACGTGAGGGAGGCAGGCAAGATAGTCACCACCCAGACTCCTGAAACAGAAAAGGTGATAAGAGAGGTCTCAGAAGATGAACCAGAAACTATTTTTAAAATGCAGAGGGAATTCCCTGATGGTCCAGTGGTTAGGACTCCGCACTTTCACTGCTGAGGGCCTGGGTTCAATCCCTGGTCGGAGAACTAAAATGCAGAAACTCACAACAGAAAGGTTTGGGCAAAATATACTGTACTTCCTTTAACACACCTCTTGTGCAAATAACATTTTGCTTATTTTCTGTTTCATTTTAGACATACACCCTCGATATCCTTTATTTCCTGTGTATTTATAATCTTTGCCTTTGGTATTAATATTTTCAATCTACAGTGAGTAATAGAAAAAGAAAATTATGGAGCGTACACATTGTAGGTAGCCTCCAGCGTAGTAAAACATCATTAATTCTTGAACTTCCAATCTCCGCTTTTGGGGGGGTGGTTACCCAATAAACAGTCACCTTGTGCAACGGTAACTGGAATCAGGGTCTTGACTATTCATTCATCCATCTTTCAGTATGTTTTTACTATTTTGTACCTAATTTGCTTTCAGAATGATTCTGTGTGCTTGTGAGAGAGGGACGGAGACAGAGGGAAGGAAGTAAAAGCTTCTGTATAAGCCAACTCTCAATAGGTACAGAAAAGGCGTTCGAAAGAATCCAACACCTCTTTATAACTCAAATCACTCCATAAACTAGAAATAGAAGGGAATTTCCTCAACTGGATAAAAAGCATCTGCAAAAAACCCACAGCTAACATCATACTTAACTGGTGAAAAACAGACTGCTTTCCCCATCAGTTCAAGAATAAGAAAATCAATGTCTGCTCTTGCCAATTCTATCCAACATTGTACTGGAGGGTCTAGCCAGGGCAGTTAGGCAAGAAAATGCATCCAGACTGCAAGGGAAGAAATAAAACTATCTCTATTCACCAACAACATGTTCCTATATATAGAAAATCCTAAGGAATAAATAAACAAACAAAGTAAAATGAATTAATAAATGAGTTCAGCAAGGTTGTAAGACACAAGACCAATATATAAAAGTCAATTGTATTGCTATACACTACCAACAAATAATATGAAAATGAAGTAAGAAACAACTGCATTTGCAACAGTATCATAAAGAATAAAATACTTAAGAATAGGGCTTCCCTGGTGGCGCAGTGGTTGAGAGTCCACCTGCTGATGCAGGGGACGCGGGTTCGTGCCCCGGTCCGGGAAGATCCCACATGCTGCGGAGCGGCTGGGCCCGTGAGCCATGGCCGTTGAGCCTGCGCGTCTGGAGCCTGTGCTCCTCAACGGGAGAGGCCACAACAGTGAGAGGCCCGCGTACCGAAAAAAAAAAAAAAAAACTACAAAAGCTTGTTTTAAGAAATTAAAGAAGACCTAAATTAATGGAAAAACGTATCACTTTTACGTATTGGTTGTTCTTTGTGAACATGGCAATACTCCCTAAATTGATCTACAGATTCAAATCCCTGTCAAAATTCCAATGTCATTTTTGGATAAATTGACAAGCTAATCCTAAAATTCATATAAAAATGAAGCGACCCTGAATAGGCTATACAACCTTGAAAAAGAAGAACAAAATTACAGGACTCACATTTCTTGAGCTACAGTAATAAGACAGTGTGATATTGCCATAAAGATAGACAAACAGACCAATGGAATAAATTGAGAATCCAGAAGTAAACCCCCATTGTCAATGTATTTTCAACAAGGATGACAAGACAATTCAATGGGGAAGGAATACGCCTATTAACAAATAGTGCAGGGGAAACTGATATTCCCATGTAAAACAATGAAGTTAGAACCTTACCTCATACCGTATACAAAAATTAAATCAAAATGGATCATACACTCAATGTAACAGCTAAAATGATAAAAGTCTCAGAAGAAAATATGAGAGTAAATCTTTGTGACCTTGGGTTAGACAATGGTTTCTTAGACGTGCACAAGTGACAAAAGAAAACAAGATATATTAGACCGCATTAGAATTAAAAGCATTTGTGTTTCAAAGGACACCATCAAAAAAGTGCAAAAGCAACCCACAGAATGGAAGAAATTATTTGTAAATTATATCTCTTGTAAGGGATGTGTATATAGAATATACAAAGAACTCTTACAGCTCAATAACAGACAAATAATCCAATTTTAAAGTGGGCAAAGAATCTCAGTAGTCATTACTCAAAGAAGATGTACAAGTGGTCAATAAGTACATGAAAAGATGCTCAACATCATCAGCCATCAGGGAAATGAAAATCAAAACCACAACGCACCCCCGATGTTCACTGCAGCACTATTTACAATAGCCAAGACATGGAAGCAACCTAAGTGTCCAATAACAGATGAATGGATAAAGAAGATGTGGTACATACATACAATGGAATATTACTTAGCCATAAAAAATAATGAAATAATGCCATTTGCAGCAACATGGATGGACCTAGAGATTATCATACTAAGTGAAGTAAGTCAGAGAAAAACAAATATAACATGATATCACTTATATGTGGAATCTAAAAAAATGATACAAATGAACTTATTTACAAAACAGGAACAGAATCATAGACATAGAAAACAAACTTACGATTACAAAGGGTGGGGGGGGGGAGGAAGAGGGATAAATTATGAATTTGGGATTAACAGATACACACTACTATATATAAGATAGATTAAAAAAAACAAGGGCCTACAGTATAGCACAGGGAACCATAGTCAATATCTTGTAATAACGTATAATGGAAAAGAATCTGGAAAATAATATATATGTGTGTGTATATATATATATATATATATATATATATATCTGAATCACTTTGCTGTATACCTGAAATATTATGAATCAATTATACTTCAATTTAAAAAAAATACAGTGCAATACCACTTCATACTTACTAGATGGCTATAATAAAAAATAAAGATATTAACAAATGTGGATGAAGATATAGAAGCTGGACCCCTCATACACTGGTGATGGCAATACATAATGATGAAGCTGCTTTTGAAAATGGTCTGGCAGTTCCCCCAAAAGCTTAAACACAATTACCACAGGATCCAGAATTCCACTCCTAAGTATATACCCAAGATATATAAAAATATATGAAGAACTTGTAGATGAATGTTCACAGCAGTATTATTCATAATAACCAAAAGTTGAAACAACCCAAATTTGCATCAACAGACAAATACATAAATACAATATTGTATATTCATACAACAGAATAAAATTCAGCAATAAAAAAGAATGAAGCTGAGACACATGCTATGATATAGATGAACCTTATAAATATCTTGCTATGTGAAAGAAGCCAATCAAAAAAGACCATGTATTGTATGATTCTATTTATATAAGATGTCCAGAATAGGCAAATCTATAGAGCCAGAAAATAGTGGCCTGGGAGAGTTGAGAAATGGGGAGTGACTGAAAGTGGTCATGATTTCTTTTAGGGTGATGAAAATGTTCTAAATTTGACTGTGGTGATGGGTGCATAAATTTTAAAATACTAAAAGCCACTGAATGGTACACTTTAAATGAGTGAATTGTATGGTATATGAGTTATATCTTCATAAAGCTGTTTTTAAAAAGAAGGAAAAAGAAAGCTGATTTCCATTCCTTTCAAGTTTCAGATGTGTCTTTATCAGCATCACCAGGACTAGGCAATTGCTCTATCCCAAACCTCCACCAACACAAAGGATGTGGGTAAATCACCATAAATCTCACCCCAGGGGATGCAGGGGACACATCCTTGGAAGGAGAGGATGGAAGGAGTCTGGCCACAAGAAGAGTGAGTGCAGACTTTTTCCAGCCAGCAGCAAGAACATGACCACACACCTTTAATTTAATGCCTTTATCATCCCAAAGATGAAGCATGTTCAGCCTAAGAGTCTCTCTTGGAAAGAGGGCAGCTGTTTAAAGCTGGAAGAGATTGAGACAGAGTGAAAATGTTATATACTGATTCTTAAAGTGTCTAAACGTGAGAAATATATCAAAGAGGAGATAAAACATGAGTGAATATGGTGATATACTCACTACAATTCACCCAGACCAAGTAACTGAGGTTAGCATTAAAAAGTTGCCCAAAACAGGGGTAGAAACGTGAATTATCTGAAGTATGACTTAAAACAAGTAGTATTAAATCAAACATTAGAATATGCTCGCTGAGTGTATAGGAAGGGACTCATCAGGCAGAACACTAAAGATGAATAGAAGTGTTCAAGGGCAACAAAAAAGTATGGTAATATGGAAGAAGTAGTACCCACCTTAGTGTAACCTTCTATGTCATGTATGTATAAGAGAATTTTCCTCAAATAATTCACAGTAGATCTATTCCCCTCTGGTTTTGATATTCTACTAGCTTGTGAGTCTTAAGTGAAAATATTATTGGCATCACCTGTTTCATGGCTTAAGGAATATATGGTAATTTACAGCCATTAAATGTCAGAGCTACAAAGGCTTTTGGAAACCATTTGGTACCCTCATCCCAGTCCCATTTTAAAGATGAGGAAACTGAGGCCAAGAGAAGGGACCTGACTTGTCCAATGACAGAGTTTATCCTGACATCTTGTCCAGGTTCTTTCTCAACAAGGAATAGTGAAGAACTTTCCTTCCTTCATGGGCAATGGACATATAATTAGAGTATGTCATTTTCAAAGAAAGCTACTATTTTAAGGTAAAGTGACTGTTATGGACAGAATGTGTGTGTCTCCCACCCCCCACAAAATTCATGTGTTGAAACCCCAATCCCCAATGTGATGGTATTTGGAAATGGAGCCTTTGGGAGGTGATTAGATCATGAGGGTGGAGCCCTCATGATGGAATTAGTGCCCTATAAGAAGATACATGAGCGAGTTTGCTTCCTCTCCCTGTTCTCCATGCAGTATGTGAGGACAAAAAGAGAGGGTGGCCTTCTGCAAGTCAGGAAACAGACCCTCCCCAGACACCAGGTCTGCTAGCACCTTCAACTTCCCAGTCTCCAGAACTGTGAGAAATAAATGTCTGTTTTTATACCACACAGTCTATGGTAATTTGTTATAGCAACCTGAACTAAATAGAAATTAAATTTGAATGATATAAGTAAACTTTCCATATAATAATAAAGTCATGGACCACTGTTTTATCTTTTCCAAAGTGAAAAAAATATGATGATTTTAGTTGTTTCCACTGGCATCAAACAAAATAGGCTATTTGAGATTAGAAAATTATCAGGGCATGTTCAATTCAGCCCCAAATAGGTTCTAACAAAATGGCCTGTGTCCTGACCCCTTTTTCCTTTGAGTCAACCCAGGGAGGCATAGAGCAATTGTAACACAGGTAATATCAAGACCAGCAGCAATAATCATTATAGGTGTGCACCTGCCACAGGTCACAAGTCCCTCTCTGTTTCCTACACAGGCAGCAGGAACAAAGGTGGAGGATGGTTTTACCTTTGGTGACGTTAATCAGCTCTTTCACCTGCAGGAGGACTGGGGTCAGGGTACCCGTCTGGTTCATGGAGGCGACGTAGCTCTCCAATTCGCCTTCAAACACATCTAGCTCATCTCTCACATACACGAACATGCAGAACTCAATGACAATGAACTGGGGACACAGAGCAAATGTTTCAAGGTCTCACCTGAGTCCAGCTCAGTATATGAATAACATATGGGTCTCTCTTTGGTTTTGAGGTCAAAACTCTCTGAAGCTCAAAACTCATCTGCAGTAGACTCTGGACACTTGCTCTACTGAGATGAATGCGATTGTGACTTCTTTGGAGACAGGAGTCACCCCAAACTCTGTTCTTCACACAATAGCATATAAGAGTAGGCACCACAAGGGCTCAAAGAACTCTTCAAACATTAATTAAATCAGAGTGAAATAATTAAAACAGAGTGGACTTCGAATAAGGGGTGACCCTGGGGACAATTCCAAACACTTCTCACTGTTCCCCTTCTTGTATCTTGGCAATGACCAAATTGGAGGAGGTGTTGTTTCCTGTATGCATGTCATGCTTGCTCCCCTCCTATCATCCTGTCATCCTGCCCTCATGCCCCCATCATCATGCCATTGCTTCTAGAGTCCCTGACGCCATTTTACTTCATCAACCGAACTGAATGTGGAGCTCAAATGCTACTATTTTCAGGCAGGTTCTCAATCCAGAGTAATTCACTAAATTTCCAAAGCACTTTTACCTTTTCTTTTTCTCTAGTTAGACGGCAATACTTCATACCGTATTTTATCTTCTTGTCTTAAACCATGGGCTACTCCCAGGCCAAGACTCTGCTGAACCAGCTCTCTTCTCTCTTCCAGGTCTTAGTATAGTGTTTGGCATAGAGTAGACAACCAATAATGATTTAATAAACACAATAACCCCTAGTGATTTACCCACTGCTGCAGAGAACTCTAGCTAGTTGTCCATTAAAATCTCTTCTCCCCTTTTTTGGGCACGGGCTGGACTACATTTGCCAGCCTCCCTTGAGTTAGATGTGGGTAAATAACAAGGTTCTTGTCAATGGAAGAAGAGTGGAAGGAATGTGTGCTGGGTCCACATAGCCTTTGAAAAACTCTCACAGGCATTTCACCGCCTGCTTTCTCCTTCTGCTGACTGGATGCAGGTGGTGAGGGTGCTCAGGGATGATGAAGGCACATGATGGAGAAACCAGTTATGGAACAGACACGTGGAAGACTGCTACCTCCCAAACCTCAACACTCACTCAACACTGTTAAGTGGGCAAAAATATATTCAGTGTTGTCACTGAAATTTGTGGGTTTATGTGGTACTTCATCATAACCTAATACATCCACTTAAAACTTAATCATAGGATTAGTTTATATAGGTATCATCCTAGTACATTTAAAATGAGCAGAAGACAATTTTTATCCCGCCATTTGACCCTGCTTTTGACTCAGACATTTTATCTCAGATAACAATGACCACGTGAAATGCTTTGATTCTGTACTTTGACTTCCTGTTTTCAATTTCATAGGTTTCTGCTCTAATTTTTATTACATCTATTCTTCTGCTTACTTTGCATATTAATTTGCTCTTTTTTGTTTGTTTGTTTCCTAAGGTGAAAGTTTAGACGATTGATTTAAGATCTTTCTTCAGGTCTAATATGTACATTCAATGCTATAAATTTCCCTCTAAGCACTGCTTTTGCTGCCTCCACAACTTTTGATAAGTTGTGTTTTCATTTTCATCTGTTCAAAATATTTTTAATTTCCTTTGATGTTTTTCTTTGGCTCATATGTTACTTTAAAGTGTGTTGTTTTCATACTTACTACTTGCAGATTCTCCGTTATCTTTCTGTTACTGATTTTTAGTTTAATTCCACTTTGATCTGAGAGCAGACATTGTATGATTTCTATTCTTTTAAATTTATTAAGACGTGTTTTATGGTCCAGGATATAGTCTATCTTGTTGAATTTTCCATTTACTCTTGAGAAGAATGTGTATTCTGCTGTTGTTGATGAAGTAGTCTTTGGATTTCCAAAATATCCAATTGATTGATGGCATCAATTACAGTTCAGGTTTTCCTACCTCGGCACTGGTTGCCATGGGGTTTCTGCTCCATTCTGTGATGATCGTGTCTCTTCAGTTTTAGGGGTAAAGTTTTGCTCCATGACCTCACTGCTCTTAGGGATCTAAGAAGAGTTGTTGATTCTTCAATTTGTTCAGATTTGTATTTGTTGTTAAGATGGATTGGCATCTTGCAAGCTCTTTACATGTGGAATTGTTAACTGGAAGTCTCTGTAAATAACTCGATTATATTTATTAGTAATATTCACCACATGAGTATAAGTGTCCTTGGAGTCAAAATGGTGGGGTCAAAGAATTGTACTTCTTTGATTTACAGATACTCAATTTTGACCCAGCTTTTAAAGAACAACCCCTATCCTAGACCCACCCCATTTATAAAACAATAAAGGATTTGCTTAGATCTACTTACAAGGTACAGGCAGATGAAAGCCAACACAGTGGTTCCAATCATCCTGCTTGGGAACTGAAAGTAAGGGTCCCACTCATATATCCTGATTTGGAACCAAGACTTTTCTCTCTCTCTGTGAATGAATAAACATCAAGAGAAGACAGGTTGTGGCTGGTAAACAAATGCCTGATTCTTCTGAAAATAATATCATCTCCTCTTCTTCACCTTAGAGTATAGTGAAGACAAAGAGCACTGGTAGATTCCACAGTTTTCATTCTCCCCTTATTCTTAAGAACAAAGACTCAGTTTTATTCAGTACAGCAATCTACCAAATTAAAGGCGATAGTTCCCGACCTCTCTTACAGCTAAGAGTGACCAAGACTAAACAAGCCAATTAGACGTGACCAGAGATGTGGTGTGGGACTTTGGGGAGGCTGGTCAGGTGGAACTGACACAGCTGGGAGGATTCCCTTTGACTTCATTCTTTTCTCCTGCCTGCCATCTGAAGGGCAGACATGGTAGCTGGCCCAGGCTGGAGCCCCAGCATCTATCTTGGGCCACAGACAGCCTTCATGATGGAAACCACTACGTTACTGGAACAGAAAGACAGACAATGGGTAAACTGCGTGGTGGGCAGTCCAGGGTTAGTATGGACTGCCTGCCTCCAGAATTCTTTTACATGAGAAAGAAAGAAATCTCTCTTTTATTTGTGCCATGATTATTTTGCATTTTCTGCTATATGTAGCCAAACGTAACTCTAACCAAAGAACTAGTTTTGCCACTATGACCTTGGATTAGACATATCCCTTCTCTGGGAATATACCCTTGTGCACAGTGGCAGTGGCAGGGGTAGGGTGACTTGAATGGTCACTGAAGACCAGGTGTTCTTGCCTGGCCAAGAGCTATGTCCTCTTTTATTGGTAACAACATCTCAGTTTTTGTCTGGGAATCTACTCTTCCCCACCATCAGTCCTGGTGGTTAAGTGAAGCTGAACCACTTCCTAGTTCCCACGGTGAACATGTGACCCTGGTTTAACAATCAGTTTACTCCAATCACCTACTCACAGTAATTGGTTCTGGGATGCCATGTGGTCCAACTTGATCCAATGAAACACATTCATGGGAATTTTGTTTGAATTATTTGAAAGAAAACATTCTCTTCTCTATGAGCTTAAGACAGGAGGGTATAAGCTTAGAGATTCTGGGGGCCACCACAGGGAGGAAGCCTACCTAACTAAGAGTTTAACATAGGTAAAAGCAGAGCTGAGAGGTGAGGGAAAGAGACCTAGTTCTGATTATATCAATCAAACCCCTGGATCCATCTGTGTCTGAAAACTGGCGACCTCTAGGCTTTTTAATTATGTAAGGCCATAACTTTCCTGTTTCTCTTCAATCCCATTTGAGTCGAGTTGCTGTTATTAGCAAACAAGTGTCCTAAAACAGCGCTCTTCCAGTCATCTCCAGGGCTCTGACACGGTCAGGGCTCATCAATATTGGTGCAAACACCGAGGGGTGTGAACAAATATAACTGTGCTTACTGCAGGGGGCACTTCCTCAGGAGCTGTTTGACGTGCTCTGCCTGGTGAACTTCCAGGAAAGGCTTTTCTTCCTGTGAGAAAAGAGAGAGGTTGATGTTTTGGCTCACAAAGTCTTGTTAGGGCTTTGGTCTCTTTGAGGGGCTATTTCCATAGAGGCCAGGATTTTCGGTAAAACTTGCCATTCCCAGACACCCGTCATTTATTGAAGAGACTGTAGGGTCCCGTCTCCTGTTTCCCAAGCACTTCTTTCATGAAATGCCAGAGGCCTGACCTTCCTTGACTCTTTTGCTTACTGCTTTACACCAGCCTTTGTTTTGTGAAGTCGATTTTTCCCTTTGAGATTTGGTGATTTCTCTTCATAGTTCAAAACACTGTTCCAGAAATGAAACACCCAAAATCCCAGTGTTTTTATTTTTTATGAAAAGGAATTTCTCTTGCTCATTTCTTATTTTGAAATGAACTTTAATAGTATGTTTGGAAATGTTTTCTCCAAGTGTAATGAGCTTTCCACAATAGTCACCTGTTTTGCCAATATATTGAATATGTAACTTTTACACACTGTGAGATGAAATCTTATATATTGCAGATGTTGCGCAGAGTAAAAAAGACCTGGTTATAATTCTGACTTGTAAGTGACATCAGCACGCTGGAGGAACAGGAGGTTCCAGTTCCCATATGCCCTCAGATACACCAACTTTGACAATCCCCCACAGGTGAGAGTACCTTGGTGGGGGCCCAAGTATCTACCTTGGAGGTTACAGCACTCTAGTTAAGCAAAAACTCCAAGAATAGATGCATGAAAGAGAACAAGGAGAACAGTTTCATTTTACCAACATCACTCCTCCTCCAAAGTAGTATAGCTCAGGGCATAGAGAGAAGGCCCTCTTAGCTTGTAATTTCTCCTATGAGGGAAAATAAAAGTGAAGTGAGAGCCCAGCTTCCCCAGCCTTGGGGGACACTGCCCAACAGATCCATTCCTGTCTCACACCACCCAGAACACTGAGGGGATCAGCATGGTGGAATAGTCTGGGGAAAGCTAAGAGCAGGGAAATGGGGCAGGGGGTCAATGGGGTGGGGGAGTCCTTCCGGAGTCCTCGAAGGAACAGAGAAAGAGAAAAGGGCAGAAAGCTATATAAAGAAATAATGGGGGGACTTCCCTGGTAGTCCAGTGGTAAAGAATCCACCTTCCAATGCAGGGAATGTGGGTTCGATCCCTGGTCGGGGAACTAAGATCCCACATGCCGCGGCACAACTAAGCCCACGTGCCACAACTATTGAGCTTGCGCGCCTCAATGAGAGAGCCCACATGCCACAAACTACAGAGCCCACATGCTCTGGAGCCCACACACTACAACTACTGAGCCCACGTGTCCTGGAGCCTGCACACCACAACTAGAGAGAGAAAACCTGCACGTCACAACTAGAGAGATGCCTGCATGCCGCAACTAGAGAGAAACCCGAGCAGACCACACGCCATAATGAAAAGATCCTGCATGCCTCAACAGAGATCCCATGTGCTGCAACTAAGACCTGACACAGCAAAAAATAAATAAATAAGGAAAACAAATAAATAAAATAAATAAATATTTTTTAAAAAAAGAAATAGTGGGGACTTTCCTGGTGGTCCAGTGGCTAAGGCTCTGCGCTCCCAATGCAAGGGGTCTGGGTTCCATCCCTGGTCAGGGAACTAGATCCCATATGCCGCAACTAAGAGTTCACATGCCACAACTAAAGATTCTGCATGCTGCAACTAAAAGATCCCACACGCCACAACTAAAGACCCCGTAGGCTGCAACAAAGATCTCACATGCCGCAACTAAGATCCGGTGCAGCCAAAGAATAAATAAATAAATAAATTTGGGAGGGAAAAAAGAAATAATGGCAGAAAGTTTCCCTAATCTGGGGAGGAAAATGAACATCCAGATCCACAAAGCCTCAAACAGACTGAATATATAGAGGTCTTCACCAAGACACATTATAATCAAAATGTCAAAAGTCAACGACAAAGAGAGAATTTTGAAAGTACACATACAAGGGAACCCGTTTAAAGATATCACGGGATTTCTTGGCAGAATTCTTGCAGGCCAGGAGAAAGTGGGATGATATATTCAAAATGCAGAAAGAAAAAACCTGCCAATCAAGAATACGACTCTTGCCAAAACTGTCCTTTTCCAGGCAAACAAAAACTGAGGGAATTTATTACCACTAGGCCTGCCTACAAAAAATGTTAAAGTGAGCTCTTCAAGTTGAAATAACATGATGCTAATTAGCAACACAAAAACATATGGAAGTATAAAAATCACTAGTAATGGTAAGTATGTAGTCAAACTCAGAATACTCTAATACTGTAATGGTGCTGCATAAATCACTTTTAATCCTAGTATAAAAGTTAAAAGACAAAAGTATTAAAAATAACTATAGCTACAATAATTTGTTAATGGTTGAACAGTATAAAAAGTAGTAAACTGTGACATAAATCACATAAAATGTTGAAGAGGAGAAGTAAAAGTATAGAGTTCTATGCAATTGAAGTTTAACTGTTATCAACTTAAAATAGACTATTATAACTATAAAATGTTTTATTTAAGCCTCATGGTAATCACAAAGAAAAACACCTGTATTCTACACACAAAAGATAAAGGAATCAAAGCGTACCTCTACAAAAAAATCATCACATCACAAAGGAAGAAAGGAAGAAAGGAAGAAGGAATTACAAAACAGAAAACAATTAACAAAATGACAATTTTAAGTCATTATCTATCAATAATCACTTTAAATGTAAACAGATTAAATTCTCCAATCAAAAGACACTGAGTGGCTAAGTGAATTTAAAAAAAAATTCCACATATAGATTATCTGCAAGGGACTCACTTTAGCCTTAAGGACACACATGGGCTGAAAGCAAAAGGATGGAAAAAGATATTTCATAAAAATGGTAACCAAAATAGAGCAGGGGCGGGGGGTGATACTTATGAGACAAAGTGGACTTTAAGTCAAAAACTATCACAAGAGACAAAGAACGTCATTATATAATGATAAAGAGGTCAGTTCATCAAAATGATATAAAAATTGTAAACACATATACATACCTAATATCAGAGCACCTAAATATATAAAATAAATATTAACAGAACTGAAGGAAGAAATAAACAGCAACATGATAATAGTAGAGGACTTCAACACCACACTTTCAACAATGGATAGATAATCCAGTCAGAAAATCAATAAGGAAACAGCTGACTAGAACAACACTATAGACCAAATGGACCAAACAGACATTTATAGAACATTCCATATAACAGCAGCAGAATACATATTCTTCTCAAGAACATTTTCCAGGATAGAGCATATGTTTGGCCACAAAACAAGTCTTAAACATAAGAAGATTGAAATAATATCAGACATAATTTCTGACCACAAAAAGCTAGACGTTGATAACAGAAGGAAAATTGGAAAATTCACAAACAATACACTCCTGAACAACCAATGGGTCAAAGAAAAAATCAAAAGGGAAATCAGCAATATCTTGAAGCAAATGAAAATAGAAATACAACATACAGAAATTTATGGGATACAGGAAAAGCAGTTCAGTTCTAAGAGGGCAGTGTATAGCAGTAAATGCCTATATTAAGAAAAAAAGAAAGATCTCATGCAGACAACCTAACTCTTTACTTTGACGAACTAGAAAAAGAAGCACAATGGGTAAGAGAGAGCCTCAACAACCAAATTCTCTGGGTTCCAGGTCTGGCTCTGCTATAGACTAGCTATGTGAGCTTGGGCGATGCAACTGACAACTCTGGGTCCAAGTTTCCTAATACAGAGTGGGAGAAGTAATAATAGTACCTACCTCACAAGGCTGTTGGGAAAACTTAATCTGTCAGGACACACATGGTGTTTTTACTTAGTACTCACCGTCTGGAGCTCCCAGCCCAGGTGGACCCTCAGAGACTTGACAAACATGTACAAGAAGCGGCCCAGAAGGAAGGCCAGGCAGAGCAGTGAGGGCCAGTAGAACACGACAGTCTCATACTTCCCCACAAACTGCAACAGAAGCAGACCATGGGGCGTGGGCTCTAGGTAGGGAAGGGCTAGGCCACTGGTGAGGCTGTGCACAGGAACCTGCCTGCCCCAGCCTGCTCCCACCAGGGCCCACCCTCTCAGAGCTTGGAGGTCAGCAGCCAATCCCCGCTCCCCCAGCCCCACATCATCAGAACAAGCAGTGGACTTGGAGTCCAGCAGCCCTGGACTTGAATCTTAGCACCCCTATTTAATTTTATACAAAGGGCTTTCATGGCTTTTTTCTCATTAGGTATTAAATATTACTTTTGGAAACTACTCACAAGAGAGAGGAGGGTGAAAGAGAGAGAGAAGAGGGGAGAGAGAGAAGAGGAAGGGGGAGGGGGTGGGCGAGAGGGAGAAGGAGAAGAAGAAAAGGAAGGAAGGAAGGAAGGAAGGAAGTTAGGAGGGAGTGGGGGAAGGAGGAAGGAGGGAGGGAGAGCCCATAAGTGTCATCATTTTGGGAGCAACACAAGCTCCCAAGAGTAACAGGTCTCTCAAGATGGTGCTCATAGTTTTTCTATTTTTAGCTTCATTTTGATAAACAATTTTTTTCACTGTTTTAAGACAAATCATATTGTTATGTATCTTTCACAATTTACTGGTTAGTTTCATTTTTTTTTATGTTTCCAGAGTATTTCTCCCTAAGGAGAAATCAGAGTTTGGATGTAGTGATGTTAGGCTGGGGGACGGACACATTCTGAGACGTGCGGGCCCGTGTCTTCATCCTCCTCTCCAGCATATGCTTATATGTGAGACATAACCACCGTCAGTATTTCAGTGTCTTTCATCTTTATCTATACCCATATAGCTATATATATTATAAGTAGAGATAGTACCAGGTATGTAGGTCTGTGTCTAGCATAATCACTTCTCCACATGGTTACAAATTATTTGTGAACATTATTTTTAATGCTGCATAATAGTGCATTATTTAGATGAACCAAACTTTATCTAAACTTTCCCCTAATATTTGACATTTGAGACCCTTTCTAATGTCTCAGTTTTATAAATAAAGTTTTCATAAATACATTTGAAAACATGAGGACAAATTTTCATTAATTCCTTAGTCTGGATTTCAGTCCCATGATCTTTAATTAATAAGTCATGTTAGCCCCTGAACCTTGCTTTCCTACCAGTGAACTGGGAATGGCACTAACACACTGTCTGCAAAGTGTCCTGAGGGTTCTCCGGTTAGTGATTGGAACTGAGCCTAGAACAACGCCTGGCACATAGCAGTTCTTGGTGTTAGTGATTCTGCGCATAGAAGTGAGACCCTGCCAATTAACCATGAATATTTCAAATTTCCAAAGAACCTCTGGAAGACTGAAAGCTCTCCAAGACTCCAAAGAAAATACCTGTGATCCTGAACCTCAGGTACTGTGAGCAGTGGGAAGGAGGGCTTCTTTTGGGGCAGAGTTGTGCCGGAATGCCCTCAATCCCAGTGCAGAGATGCAGAGGGAAGGCCCAGACTACCAGCCTCATTTTCTAGTCCAGCTCCCCCCAGACTCTCTTTGTCACACCCTTTAATCCTCCATAGTTACTGAAGCCCAGGAAAGGCTTTGGCAAGGCTCCTGTGGGCTCCTGGCCCAGATGGCTTCTTCGTACTCCCCTCACACACCTGGTAACCCTTCTAGGTGCAGTGTGACACCCCTCTTTCATCTTGCTCCTTTTCCTGGGGTACAGGGCTAAACAGATGAACCATCTTCCTCTAATTCTGAGAAAGACGATGCATGGCAAAGTGATAAGGGATACATCTAGTTCGAGTCTCCCATTTTATAGACAGAGAAACTGAGGCTACATGAAGGAATGGAAACAAATGAGCTTGAGAGTCAGCCAGACCTTGTCTCAACTCCCAAATCTGCTGCTTCTCAAGAGTTACATAATATACTTGTGCCTCAGTTTCCTCACCTGTAAACAGGTTTGCTAAGAGCTTCCCTCCCTTGAGGGGCCGCTATGAGCATCAACTGAGAGAACATCTCCTGTGAATGACACCTGATGAACACAAGATGCTCTACAAATGGAAGCATCATGAATGGCTCCAACTCCCCTTTTGTCCACACGAGGAAGCTGAGGCCCAGAGTGGCAAAGGCTTGTCCCAGGTCACACAGCGAGTTGGCCATGGTGATAGGACTGAATACCCTAAATACAGCTCAGCAGGGACTCACCTGCCCATGGGGACACTGTGTGATGTGAAGGGTGGTGACAGCAAACCTGCAGGACAGAAACCAGGGTTGGGGTCCTGGGGTCCTTCCCAGCACAGCCCCTGTGAAAACAGCTCAGATACCACCTGCCTGGAGTTACCTCCCCTCCGAATCCTTCTTGGGAGGACTGGTTCCCAGTACATCCCACCCAGATCAGGCATACAGCTTGTGCCTAGGTACATGCACACTGAATTCATTTAACACATCTTCACTGAGGACATAGTCCTGGGATCCACAACGGCAGAGCAGGAAGACACTGAGAGGTCTCCTACTTCCTCCCCTCATCACTCAGGTGGGGAAACTGAAGCCCAGAGAGGGGAAGGGATTTCTCCAGAGTCACACCCAGAGCCAGGACCAAGACCCAGGTGTCCTGACTCTGGGACCGAGGCTCTTTCTGACAGGACATGCCCTGTCTGTAAACACTGCCCTGAGCAATAAGCCTCAACGTTTTCTCCTGGCTGGACACACATTCCTGGTCATACCCCCAAGGTGCCCAAGGTGCCCAAGCTGCTAAGTGGCTCTGACCACCCTCTCCTCTCCTGCTCAGAAAGTCTGGCAGAGGCTGTTAAGATGATATTATTCCACGTCTTACCCTGAATACCCTCTCTTCTAATTTTTAAAAAGCAAGTCACAAACTCTGTAATTGTAGCCATTGGGGTATCATTTGCTTGTGAGCCCCCTGCACTGGATCACACACTGGGCCTGGGACCCCTGCCCCACAGAAAATGCTGTAGCGGGGAAGCCAACCCAGTAAGGGGGATGCAGGCAATGAGATGAGTTTCAGGGCTGGAGAGTAGAAGTGTTCATGGGATTATTCAGCCAGAAAATATTCCCCAGGGCCAGCTCTGTGCCAGTCCGGTGTCAGCGCTGAGGGCACAGCGCTCAAGAGGAGGGTCAGAAAGGTCCCACATCTGAGGGCTCTGATCCACGAAGGATGAGCATGTATCTATCACTGGGCCAAGTCGGGGAAGACGATCCACACAGGGAATAGCAATATGTAGACAAAGAGGCCAGAACACATGTTCCATGAGGGTCTGTCCTGTCCTCCAGTGTTTTCCCTGGCTCACAGCGGGATGTCTGCTGAATGAATAAGTGGACGGAGAAAGGAGTATAGGAGTCTTGCATGACCGGAGGTGTGTGCTAGAGACTGTCAGGCATGGAGAGATGGGGAGAGGCCAGAATGCGACAGCACTGAATGCCCAGCTGAGGCACCTGCACTTTCTCCTGGGCTCCCAGGGAAGCAGCGACAGCAAGGAGAAGCAGAACCCAAATGGGACTCCTGCTTCTAACCACGGGACTGATGGCACTTGACAGAAAGGAATTTTTCTACAACCCTGACTTCTGGGAGTATTCTACTCATGAGCGGCCTCCTGTGGAGCAGACAGAATGCAGGCCTGACCTTCTGAAGCCTCAAGTGCAGTTTCCAAGGAGGGGCTTCGGTGGGCCTTGGACCAGTCACTCTGCCCACCCGCCCTGGGGCTCGGTTCTGGGCAAGGTGCCCTCCAAAGAGAGCTCTCAGGTCACCTCCAGCTCCTTGTCCAGAGTCCAGCCATGGCCAAAGGAACTGCAGGAGGCCAGGCAGGCAGAGTCCATCTTACCAGATCAGAGAGTAGCTGAACCCCAGGATGGAGCTGACCAGCCGGAACTCCGACGAGAGGCAAGCAAAGAAGGGGAAGTGGGACAGGCCGACTTCGATGCCTCCGATCAGAAGCACAAAGGCTGGGAGAGACAGGGCCAGAGATGACGTGAGTTCCTCTTTTCACAGGCTCAGGGGAGACCCAGGGCAGTTATGAGGTTTCGTGTGACTTGCAGTCACAGACCTCAGGACTTAAGGAGATGAGTGGACAAGCCCCAGATTAGTACAAGGAAGAATGCAGGGATGTCTTTCATGCATTCATGCAACAGGCCCTTCCTGGTACCTCTTCCATGCCAGGCACTGAGCTAACTATTGAGATGAAGAAGACTTTGTCCCTGCCCTTGATTAGCTCACAGTATGATGGGCAGAAACATACCACAAAAATGAACAAACAAAAATCACTGAGAGTAAAGCACCATAAAGTGTACCATAGCAACACAGACAGCAGTGACGTACTGTGTTCTAAAACCCCTTGTGCACTTCATCCATAAGGCAATAATAGTATTAATGCTGCCACTGACTAGCTCTGAGATGGTCTAACAGGATCCAGTAAAATGTAATTGGGCAAGGTGACCTTTCCTAAGTGTCTACTTTGAGCTGGGTTGTGGGTCAGGCACCAAGGACATAGGGGGAATGAACAAAGTTCTTGCTTTGAGATGCTTACAGTCCAAAAGGGAAGACAGGAAGGAAAGTAAACGATGTGATATGTACGGTAATAGAGGCATATTCAACATGCTGTGTGGACAAGAAGAGGAAGTCATGGACCTCACCTGGGGTCTGGGTATCAGAGAAGGCATCCTGGAGGTGGTGACATTTAGCAAGGCCATGAAATATAAGTGGGAGTTTGTAGGATGGAGAGAAGGAGGGAAAGAAGGACATTTCTCACTCAAAGGAGGGGAGATGGTTGGTGGAGGTGGTCAGTATTTGTGTAAATGTGAACAGTGGGGGACTGGCAGCTAAGGACCATATAAAAGGAATAATTGCTGTGAGGTTAGAAGCTGCAACAGCATAATTTTTTAATTTATCTGAAGTTCCCCAACCATGAAAGCAGACAGAGCAGTGAAGATAGCAAAACCAAAAACAAACATCTACAATAAATCTAAGTGACAGGACTCATTTGATATCAACATCTGATTAAGGGGAAGCAGAGGAAAGACAATAGGGTCTTTGAAATCCCAAGAGCCGAAGAACCCAAAATTGCCAGCAGGTATTCACAGGAAATTGAAGCTGAAATAACAGTTGAAACTGGGCACAGGGCTGAAGGCCTTGATTCACAGGTGAGAATCAGCAGACCTTAGTAAGGTGTTAGTAGGTCTGAGGATGCTGGAGCCATCAGGGCCCATGAGCTCATTATACTAAATATCCAAGTCCCCTCCCAGCACAAGCCCCACGTGAAAGAGAAACTGCTGGCAGCGAGAATCCAAAATAAGAAGGTAAGAACGTTAGGAACTGGGTAGTAGTGGGTCCAGACAAAAGTGGAAGGAAGAAGCCAACTCAGAAAATATGAGGTTGTAATGAGGGTACATATATATAATCATTCTGTAAAAACAGAAGAGGAGGGGCTTCCCTGGTGGCGCAGTGGTTGAGAGTCCGCCTGCCGATGCAGGGGAAACGGGTTCGTGCCCCGGTCCGGGAGGATCCCACGTGCCGCGGAGCGGCTGGGCTAGTGAGCCATGGCCACTGAGCCTGCGCGTCCGGAGCCTGTGCTCCGCGACGGGAGAGGCCACAACAGTGAGAGGCCCACATACCGCAAAAAAAAACAAAACAAAAAACAAAACAACAAAAAAAAACAGAAGAGGAACCCTTGAGCCATGAAGCAAGAAAAAATATTCTGGTCCAGCCAGATGCTCAACATCAATTAGTCTTCACGGAAATGCAAATCAAGACAACAATCAGATACTACTTCACACCTACTAAGATGGCTATAATTTTTTTTTAAAAAAATGAAAATAACAAGTGTTGGCTAGGATGTGGAGAAATTGGAACGTTCACATATTGCAGGTCAATGGAACACAATGGACAGCCCAGAAATAGACCCATACATATACATGTGTAGACAACTGATTTTCAACAAAGGTGCAAAGGCAATGTAGTGGGTAAAGGACAGGTTTTTGTAATGACAACAGTGCTGGAACAAATGGATAGCCAAAGGCAAAAAAAAAAAAAAAAAAGAGGAATTCAATCCACACCTCACACTATATATTCAAAAAAATTAACTCAGAATGTACCATAGACCTAAATGCGAAACACTGTGAGACTATAAAACTTCTAGAAAACACAAAGAAGAAAATCTAAGTGACCTTAGCTTAGGCAAATATTTCTTATATGGCATCATATGCATGATCCATAAAAGAAAATATGAAAAAATTAGATTTCATCAAAATTTAAAATGTCAGCGCCTCAAAAGAAACTGTTGGTAGAATAAAAATACAAGCAACAGACTGGGGAAAAGTATTTGCAATTTATACATCTGATAAAGGACTTATATACAGAGTATATAAAGAACTCTCAAAACTCAATAAGAAGAAAACGAAAAATCCCCAATATTTGAAAATAGGCAAATAATTTGAACAAACGCTTTACCAAAGAAGGTACAGTGATAGCAGATAAGCACATGAAAATATGCTCAACAACAACAGTCATTACAAAACTGCAAACTGAAACCACAGTGAGATACCACAACATGCCTCTTAGAATGGCTAAAATTAAAAAGACTGACCATGTGTTGTCAAGGACACAGAGAAACTTAACTCTCATACACTGAAGGTGGTAATCTACAATCAAACGGAACCATCATTTTGGAAAACAGTCTGACAGTTTCTTTAAAAGTATAATCTACTACATGATCTTAATAATCCAGACATTCCATTCAAAGGTGTTTACTCAAGAAAAATGGAAACATACAAAGACTTATAATGCTTACAGCAGCCTTACTTGTAACAGCCAAAAACTGAAAATAAATCAAATGTCTATCAATAGGTGAATGGATAAACAAACTGTGGTCTCTCCATACGGTAGAACACTATTCAGAAATGAAAAAGGAATGATTTCTGATACATTCTAAACATATATGAATCTTAAAACAACTATGCTGTGTGAAAGAAAACAGACTCCCTCCCCCCCAAAAAAAACCCCGATTGCATTCTGTATGATTCCATTTGCATAACTGCCTGGGGATGGGGGTGGTGACTGGATGGGGTGGGAAGGAGAGAGTACAAAGGGGAAAAAGTTAACTTCTGGGGTTCATTATCATGATTGTGGTGATGATTTCATAGATGTAAACATTTGCCAAAGCTTAACTTGTACACTTCTAAGAGATGTATCATTTTGGTTTTAATTTGCATTAAAAACTCCTAAAAACTAAGGAGATGTTGTAGGCATTTGCTCATATAGGCTTGGAACCCAGGAGAGAGAACCAACCTGGACAGGAGATGTTTGGGAGTCATTGGATTAGGGATGGTTGAACCTGCAGGGAGAGCACAGGGCACAGGGAACAAAGAGGCCTCAGATCAATGGCCAGAGAAGTAAACACTGTTCCCTGAGGAAGCATCTGAGGGCTTACTGATATCAAGAAGGCAGTCATGGCTATGACTCAGGAGAGATTTCTAGGGTTGGTGACAGTGAACCTATTTTCTGAGACTTTGTTCTACTATGTCTAAAACACCTTTGAATCTAACTGGGAGAAAACCGCCACAAAAAAGCTTGAGACTTTCTGGGCTTGGCATTGACCTTGGGCAAGTAACAAGCTAAGAAGAACATTGACAGTTCAACAAAGTTTATCCCCTGATCCCAGAGAACCCCTGCCATGCAGTCTCCAAGAGCAAGAATTTCCACGGCAAAACTCCCAGCAGGTATGAGGCAGCGCACGTACCTTGGGCCCATTGTGGGACTTGCAGGGGCTGGTAGCCTTCCGAGAATAAGAACATGACCTTATTGGCTGCAGCCCCAAAGGCTACTCCATAGGACCATCGGTTACGAAAAGTGCCCACGAAGTCCAGAGGTCTGTGAATAAGAGAAACAGCTCGTGAGGCCAGAAGTGGCTCCTTCCCACAGTTCATTTCCAAAGTATCAACCCCACTCTGGGGAGGGACTATTAAGTAGTAAACTATTTATTTCAACTGACATATCCTGAGGCCCTCTGTGCCAATATGGGGACTACGCATAGATTCAGGGTACCAAAGTGAGGAAGACAAAATCCTTGCCCTGGAGAAGCTCCAAGTCTGGGGAACATAAGCAAGGACACCAGCAGTCGTGACAACAAGCAAAATGGGATGAATTTCATCTATGAGAGACACAAGCAGTATGACTTGAGAAACCAAAACAAAGAGTATGTGCCAGACAGGTTGGGGGAACCTGCCCTGCACCTGGCCATGGTCTACGAGAGTCCTCCTTTCCAATATCCCTGGGAAGGTTTGGGTATCACTGGCTATGCTAGTTGCATGTGATCACATCTCCTGGCCACAGCTGATTGGACTATGGGTGGTCAGATGGTCACAGGACTTTGGATGGGCCAATCACCGTGCCTGGCCTTGTATTTTGGATTTGTGATTCTGAGGACAGGAGCCAGTCAGCTGTTAAAATTCTGTTCTGGAAAGTCATGCCAAACTGAGTCTTGCCGACGTTTGGGGAAAGCAGAGATCGTTAAGTCCGATGATAAAGTCAGATGGCAGAGAGGAAAATGGCAAAATGGTGCTGAAGGGACCCCAGTGACACAAAGAGGCAAAAGTAGAATCCGTCTCCCAGAGACGCCCATCTCAAGAGCTCTAGTTCCCATGAGGCCAACCTTGCCAGTTTCTGTGAGATCTCTGTAACTTTATAAAAAGTCCTTTCTTTTCCTTTTATGCAAACAAGCTTGAGTGGATATCTGTTTCCTCTAACCAAAAGAGCTTTGTCTACATGAGAGAAAGCAATTGCATTTGAGACAGAGAAAAGGCTTTCCCCACTGGAGTGCCGTTTGAAGCGGGCTTAATGAAAACTCAAGGTGGCAGGAAGGGAAGGGTACTGCAGGTACCTGCAGGTGGGGACTTGGGAGTCAGGATCTGGACCCCACCTTCCTGTTCCATTTGGCTGGCTCGTCTTCATCTTCAAGGCACAACTCAGGGAGCACCCCTCTCAGAAACCTCCCTGACAACCCACTCTCCCAATCAGGCACACCTACTTGCTGCCTTGCTTGGGTCCCCTCAGCGCTAAGTTCATGTCCATGCTTTTCTTATCACTTGTTTAGTGAACTGTAAACTCCTCTGGAGTGGGACCTAGCACAGGGCTTTGAAAAGAGTAGCTGCTCACTGCACGTTCGTGGACACGCACTTTGTTGAACTGATTTGAATTCTAGTCAATCCCACCTGTAGTAAGTAAGCGCTATGTGGGACTCAGTCTCCCTATCTTTAAAACAGAGATGATACCCCTGCTCTGCTCATATCACAGAGACACTGTGGATGGCAAATGAAGACCTGCTTTATAAACTGCGGAGTGTCATGCACATGCGAAGGATTATTAATGGGTGAAGACAGTGAGCTAAAACTACTCAGGAAAGCAGGGCTTTTCATAAGAAAGTGGCCAGAGAGCAAGAAAACTGTGCCATTATTAATTGAATTCAAAGCAGTTTAACATGATCCATACAGCAGTCTTACTTAAAAAGTCCTACACCAGGCCCTACATGCCAAATGCCTGGGGCAAAGTCTGAAGATCTTCTTTATCCACCAGCCTCAGTCTCTCTCTGTGCCTCAGCCAATGTGGCTTAGACCTGGCAGTTTGGGAGGGGCTGACTGCTCTAATGGGTGGTAACCAGAATGTTTGCTACTCTGGGCTGGTATATGGTACATGGACATCGTTGTTGGATTTCTCTCACCGCAATGGTCAGATCACCCTTAGACTCCATCCTGACATCCTGGCTTCCTCTCCCTTCTCCAGAGCCCAAGGCTGAGGCCTGAGTGTGTTCACACCCTTGAGTCTTCTCAGGTTATGACACTGGGAGAATCAGAGCCAAAAGCGACCAGAGCTGGGTTAAAGCTCTTGTCACTCGGTAGCTCTGTGGCCTTGGGCAAGTGACTCAACTTCTCTGAGCCTGAGCTAGCTCATCCATTACATGAGGATAACAACCTCCACCACGCTGGGGTCCATCCTAGTAGCGTAGGCAAAGCAGATGGTTCAGTGCCTGGGCCAGAGTCAGTATGCAACAAATGCTAATTGCATCATCATCATTAGTAGTAATTAGAGGGTGACGAGGCAGAGAGATGAACAATTAGAACTCAAGGAAAAATGTGAGGGGAGCAGAGATTCAGAATGGCAGAGTCGGAAAGGCCCTGAAAGCTCCCTGGTCCAGCGGGCTCTCCTGGGACATGTCTCATGCCTCCATCCCAACAAGGAGGCTTGCTGCCACCAGTGACAAGGAACTCTCTCCCCCCTGCTTCTTGGGGTAGCCATGGTGCTGAGTATGGGAAGGCCTTTCCCATACTGAGCTGAGCCTCTTCGAGTTGTTTTAAGCACTTCTGGGCAGCCCTGGGTGCTGACGGTGCAGTAGCTTGGAAGCCAATTCTGAACTCTCTGGGCCTTGGGTGGATTGAGGCAGGGAGGGGCAGGGCTGTCCACGGTGGGGTAGAGGTGGGTGGGGAGGTAACTGGTGGTTAGCCTAGTCTTACAAATGGTGTTGGTCCCAAACACAGAGTACCCCAAGCTGTAGTGATGGACCTTGGCTCGACTCACATGATCATTCTGAAGCGGTTCCCCAGGAGGTAAGAGGCGTCATCTCTCTGTCTATGGTGCTCTCGTCTTTGGAGAAGGGACAAGACCAAAATGACGAAAAGCTATAGAAAGAGAAGATGAGTCTGTCAGAGGGAACATTCATCCTCAACCCCTCGGTGCCCTCGCTGAAGGAGAGTGTGTGGGTGAGCAAAGCACTCAGAATGTCTAGGACTCAAACTCCACACTCGGAGAGCTGGCTGCATGCCCCGTTGAGCTTCCAGAATGTTTTGTACTGAGCTTTCCTTTGTGTTGCTCTGAACAGACATGGGTTCAAATACAGTCTCTCCCACATACTGGCTGGGAGGGAGACTTAACTTCTCTGAACCTCAGTGGCCTCATCCGTAAAAAATGGGTAATAACTTTCAGGTTGCAAATCCTTCTTTGCTTTTTATTCCTGTGGATTCAGTCATATTCTCCTATACTTGATGCCCCTTTTCTCCCTTTACTAGAAAATTCCTGAGAATTATCTACACTTGCTGTCTCCATTTCCTCACCTCTCACTTGCTCTTCGACCCCCTAACATGGCTTCTACTCCCATACTCCACGGAAGCAGTTCTGGCCAAAGTCACTAATTACCACCTTGTTGCTCAATCCAAATGTAAACATTAAGCCCATATCTGCTTGACCTCACAGCAGCATTCAGTGTTGACCTCTTCCTCCTCTTAGAAATACTCTCTTCCCTATGCTTCTATCAGCCACACTTTTCTGGTTTTCTTCCAGCAATTCTAAGTCTCCTTTGCTGGATCATTCTTTACCCAACCACCAGATGTGAAGCTCCTCATGGTTCAGTCCAAGGACCACTCATCTTACTCCCCCATCCTCTCTTCCTCAGTGATCCCATCCATGTCCACACTTTCAATGGCCACCAAATACACAGAAGACTCACAAACTTGAATCTCCAGCCCAGCTGTGGTCCAGAATCATATGTTCAACTACATAGTTGGCATTTCTTTTTGATGTGTTGAACGCTTCTCAAATTCAGTATGTCTTAAATGGAACTCTTGGTTTTCCTCCCTGCCCTGTTCCTTCATCCACAACAAACTTGGATGCCCTCTAATTTTCTTTAACAAGTGAATGGCAGATACCACCATGCTTCCAGCTGTGCAAATTACAAACCCAAGAGTCATCCTCAACCTCTCCCTCTCCCTCATCTCTCTATCCAACCCATTACCAGGTTCTACTGCTTTTACCCCTTGAACATCTGGAGGTGACCACCGTCATCTAGGATGATGTAAAATCACCTCACCTGGACCCCTGCAACCATCTCCTAACTGGCCTTCCTGCCTCCTCTCTTAACTGCCTCCAACCTGATCCCCACTTGCAAACAGAGTGATCATTTCAACACATAAATCTGATCACACCATCCTTGGGCCAGAAACACTCCACTACTTCCCATTGTATTTAGAACAAAGACAAAACTCCTTCATACACGGCCTGGCCCTGCCCACCTCCCCAGACACCTCCACCTCCAATTCCCCACTCAAGCCACACCAGCCTTCTCAGCTCCTCACACTCTCCATGCTCCCGCCCGCCACGGAGCCTTTGCACGTGCTCTCCCCTCTGCCTGAAATGTTCTTCATTACGTCTTCCAACAGACCTCAGCTCCAGCACTGCTTCCTCAGAAAAGCCTTTTTTGACTCCCCTAAAAGTCAGTGCCCCTGACTCTTGGGACCTTCAAAGCCTTCTTCTGCCTGTGTTTTTAGCACATAATGTAAGAGAGCAAGTCTCTGCTGACCTATTCAGATCCCTTTGGGAGACTGTGTATGGGAGCATCCCAGCTCCCCTCCTCTTCCCTCATCCACCCTCCCCTGCCTTCACTTACTGATGGGATGAGGGAGTAATGGAGGAAGAGCTCCATGTCCACCGAGCTGGCACAAGTGCCATTTAGCTGCCTGGTCCTGAAAAACAACCGAAACACACGTTCACATCGTCAGTCACTGCTGCAGTCATTGACCCTTCAGCCTTGAGCATCACTGTCAGGAATTTGGCTTGTAGCCCACTGAGATCATCTGACCTTTTTTAACTTCCGTTTCTGAGTCAGTGCCACTCACCTGTGATGTGTCTTCCCTAAGTGGATTATCTTCTTTCATATCTCTTTCTCCAGCTTAATTATCTATACAACTGCCCTACTAACTGGATCTAACTCCTTCTTTTCTTGATGACATAGTCATGGACAGATTCAGGTTCCTTGGCACCCAAAGCTTATATTATTTGGATGTCCTTTTCAAATAAAACTACCAAAATATCTTATCTTTTCATATATTAAGGAAAACATATCACTATGTAAACACTTAACCAAGGTGCCTCCCACCCTCCTAGAGCCTTGGTAGGGTCCTGTGCAAGTGAGGGCCCCTGAGACTTAAGCTTCAGTAACTTCACAGGAAACCAGCCTTTGGACGTGGTTTTTCGTAGCCAGAGGTCAAGAAGCACCTGCTCACTCTGATTCACTGCTGGGCTATTGGGGCAGGACAGTGGTCACCTGGATGACAGACTGTGGACTCTGTCCTCTCCAGACCTCAGAGTCTGCAGGACAAGGCTGCTGGGGTCTCATGTGTGAAACACATGAGAGCAGTTTCCTGGTCTCTCTTTGAAAGGGACCTGCTCCCTTCTGGGCTCCCGCCACACTTCGCTATCGCTGCTCTGACTTGCACTGCACCACCTCAGCAAACGCTCACCCTCCAGATCCTTGCTCACTCTGTGCCTCACTCCTGCAGCATCCATCTGGCCATCCCTCGGGCTTCCTTCCCGGTCAGCTCCCACTTTTCCCAGAAGTCTCAGGGAAGAGCATTCCTCTGGGAATCCATGAGCATGGCATACTTCCCTGAAAGTTTTTAAAATTCCAGTACTCCACAGTGATGTCTAAACATAGGAATAAGACAACTTAGAAGTGGGGGGGGGGAGATGAGGGTGACTCATGCTGTCGGAAATGTGATAGAACTATAAAATTTAGAATTCTGTTTTCAGGAAAGTAAACTGAGCACATACATCAGTCTCCTCGTTCTACAAAAACCCTCAAAATAGCAGAAAAGTTTTTTTTTAAGAAAGAAAAAAAATAGCCATATTTGGAAACAAGGAGGGAATCTATCAGGGACACAGAATCTACTAGAAGATGCTGAATGATGGAGAGCAGTTAGGACTAGATCAAAGAGAAAAAGCATCAGCCAGCACGGCTACGGGCTGTGACCACAGGAAAGCGCTCTACACTCATATGCAAGAGGCTGATGCAGGCGGGGGTTGCTGACAGACCACAGAATGATGAGTTGGGGTCTCACAGAGACCCAAGAGTCCTCCCACCCTGCTGACCGACCAGAGGCAATGGGGTTAACCTCTCTGGGAGTAGTATACATGGGTCACAGAGAGAAAGGCAGTGCTCCAGATCACAGGTGGCACCTGGGAAGGACCGGGTGCTTTGGATGTAGATCAGCTGCTGAGGTACCCCATCGAGCGGTACATCCTACCTGCATCCTGCTGCGCTGAAAGCACACCTTAGTACTAGCTGTGGTAGCAGCTGCCACCCACCCCCAACAAATATCCCAGTGGAGGCTCCAGCACAAAGACAAGCACCCAACCCAGAAACATCAAACATGAGGAAAGATTACACCACCAAAGGGAGCCGAAAATTCAGCAGATAGAGGAGCCCTAAGGAAACGAAGTTAATACAGAACCTCTCTGAGATAAGGAGTAGAGGAAATTCTCTACAAGAAGAATGAACCTAGGAGGAAGTAGAAGGGTGCAAAAAGCCACAGAAAGTAATTAGCAAAACTTCCCATTACTCCTGAGCACAGGACTTTAAATATATACACATATATACATACATTTTTAGAAACACAAAGACTCAGAAAGACCTTCATTGAAAGAAATATTGGAGGAAATTCTCAAGTAAATCTATGAGGAAGGGGAAGAATTTAAGAGGAATAACAAACAGAGAAATTAGGAAAATGTATTGTTAAATATCTAGGTAATTATTGTGAAATAAAATGTTTGAAATGCCAATTTGGAGTTGAAATACCAGATGATACCCCACATGGAAGAAGGGAGAGGTGGGTAGGAATAGGTGTAGATACAAAGGGAAGTGAAATGATGACCAAGTTCTTGTCATGTTTAGAAAGATGACGTAGAAACATGCTTTCTCTTTCTGGGCTTTATAAGTAAAATATAATTCTAAGTAGGTATGTTAAAAATCCACAGTTAGCTACTAGAAGGATATAAACAGAAAGTAAATCAATGTATTAAGAAGTGTATATGAAGGAATGAAAATTCAATCACTCCAGCAAACACAGAAAGAGAAAAAAATGAAATAAAGACTAGAAACACCACAAGAACAAAACTGTCCAAAGAATATTAAGCCACCAACAAAGAAGAAATAAAAATATTCAATACATTTTTAGAACTTCAACTAGTAATAAAAGGAGAAATTAAGATGAAATGCTGTCTTATCTATTAAAGTGGGAGTTATTAACAATACCACCCAGCAGGGGTCCCCAAGCCCCAGGCATGGACCCGTGCTGGTCCACAGCCTGTTACAAACCCGGGCCGCACAGCAGGTGAGCAGCGGGTGAGCGGGCAAAGCTTCATCTGCCGCTCCACATCGCTCCCCATTGCTCGCATTACCGCCTGAACCATCCCCCGCCTCCCCCCTGCCCCCCCGCCCCCACCGCGCCCTCCCGCCCCGCTTCCGTGGAAAAACTGTCTTCCATGAAACCGGTCCCTGGTGCCAAAAAAGGTTGGGGACCGCTGCTACCCAGCATTAGCGAAGGTTAAGACAAGTTGGTATTCATTTGCTGGTAATCAGAAGTGTAAGGAGGTATAACCATTCTGAGGATTAACTTTGCAATATACACCAAGAACCTTTAAATACAGCAACTCCATTTCTAGGAATTCTACTTCTAAAAAATATACACTACGGAAATAATCAGAGAGGTGCCTGAATTCAGGTACTAGAATGCTAAGATTCTCAACTCTTCCTGCCTCCCTCCCTCCCTCATATGTGTGTATAACATTTTAAATGTAATATATGTTCATCGTAAAACATTCAAAATACTTACAAATGTATAAAGTAGTAACTAAAAGCCCTTTCTCCTTCCATAATTATGTGTGTTTATAACCTGTAGTTTCAAGCAAAAATGGGATCGGACTAAACTTGATTTCTTCATTTAATCAATAAAGGAAATGGAATTCATTTAATAACGAAAGGCAATTTCTAATGTTAGGATATACAGACCCACAGAACTCTTTCATCAGGGTGACCCTGCCTACACAGATTCACTGCTGAGCCGGTCTTCTGCTTGGAGGGCAGAGCTGAGAGTTAAGTCTGGCAGCAGCTAGAAACAGGTGAGCTCAGGGACAGTAGAGAGTGTAGCTCTCTAAATAAGGGGTCCATAGCTATGCTTTCACTCCAGCAGTGAATAGATGAAGCAGGCACTGGAGTCAATCCAAGTTAGAAGGCCACTGAGAGCCCCTTCTTGGTCTCTGAGACTCATACTGCTTTCTAGTGGGTCCAGGGCTTGAGGGGCAGATCTGTGGAGGGGTAAACAGCTTTTGCAGGGCAGCAGCCAAACAGCACCCCCAAGTGTAGAAAATCTGATTTCCACTGATGATAGCTTGGAACTGTGTTTATGATACACTGTTAAGTAAAAAAAAAAATTATAAAACAATATGATCCCAAGTTGTGAAGAGCGGTCATCTCTGGGTTGTAAGATTTGCATTCACTCTACTTTTTTTTAATGCTTTTCTTGAATTTCCCAAGGGTAGTACGCAGATGCATTGCCTGACAGCTACTTAGAACAGCGCTTGACACAAAAGAGACAGTAATAAACACATGTCGAGTGAATGAATGGCTTGCTTCTGTAAACAGGGAAAAGACTGGACTTTATGCCAAAGCAATAAAACACCATCTGAAGGGAAGTTGCCCAGGAATCAGCATAAAGTGAAAACATGCAAGATTTGTTCTGTGATAGGGTATAAATGACAAATCTTTCATTATTTAAAAAATATTGGAAATAAAAAGCTATGAGGGTGAAACAAGCAAGGACACACAGCTGGTGCATCTAGAGCAAGGGTCGTCTGCGTTCCCAACTCCTTTCTCCAACACCCCACGCTGATTGCCTGATGGCCTTGGTGGGGTGTCTCTGTGCTCCCGCAGTCCTGATTCCTTTGGTCCTAACATTATCACTCTATAGTCACAAGTTAGGGCTTCCCTGGTGGCGCAGTGGTTAAGCATTCACCTGCCAATGCAGGGGACACGGGTTTGAGCCCTGGTCCGGGAAAATCCCACATGCCGTGGAGCAACTAAGCCCGTGCGCCACAACTACTGAGCCTGCGCTCCAGAGCCCGTGTGCCACAACTCCTGAAACCCAGGCTCCTAGAACCCGTGCTCCGCAACAAGAGAAGCCACCGCAATGAAGAGTAGCCCCCGTTCACTGCAACCAGAGAAAGCCTGCGCACAGCAACGAAGACCCAACTCAGCCAAAAATAAATAAAATAAATTATAGTCATAAGTTAAACACATGATAATAGCTTTTATTGATTAATGTCACTTTATTGTGTGTCACTATGTCCTAGGAATCCTGCTATTTTATATTACCTTATTTAATCTTTACAAGAATCTTGTGAGGTAGATTGTATTACCTCCTTTTCATAATGAGGAACTGAAGCCAGGAGAGGTTACCTAACTTGCCCAGGGGGAGGTGAGGCTGGGAGCCAGGCACCCCTGCATGTCACCATCCTCCCAGCCCCCGCTGCTGGCTCACGTGGCCCCTTGGAGCTCCTAGCATTCGCTGGCCTTCCAGGCTATGGCTGACTCATCTCTGATCCCAAGTCCAGCCGAGCACCTGGCACAGACAGGATAAGGGCATGTCTGTTAAATTCCATGGGAACTTCCCTCAGGAAGCTGAGGCCC